AAAAATAAAGGAAGTTTTGTTAGCAAGAGATTGTAAATAATGCCCTCTGCATAAACTCCTTATGAAGTCATTAAACCTTTCATTCATGCATGCATGCATTCCACACATAATTATTAAGAACCTACAAAATATGCCAGGTGCTGGAGGTTTAGGTGTGGATAAAATATAATGTATGACCCTCAAGGGGATCAGAGCCTATAAGGATAGGCAAACACACAATTAGTCAATTATAAAAATATACCCTGTACCAGCTGTGCTGAGGATAAGTGTGAACTCAGAGTGGACTTCCTGAAAGAGGCTGTGGCTGAATTGGCTTTTAATGGGCAGTGAGACATGCAGACTTGAGGCTATTGTTCCAAAACAGGACAGGAGAGAGGCATTATTTCATGTTGTGCCAGGTGTCTGGGCTCTAGCTCAAGGTCAGATGTCATTTGCATTGGGTCTTATTCTGTGCAGTAGTCCACTGCAGGTGTAGACAGTGTAGACAGCATCGTATCAAACGTAGAAATTATGTCACCTGTGGAGTTATGTATGGGACGTCAAAGCCATTAACAGTGGGAGAAAGCCCAGAACAGTGGAAGGTGGCTATGATGAGAGAGAATTAGATCTTGTTCAGAGACCAGAATCAGGGGTACTTGGTAGAAGTGGCGGACCAAAGCAATGATTAGAGAATTGTTTTCCAAGTGGTATGTTACAAAACATGAATGAGGTGATTTGAGCAAAGACAGTGAATTGTACCACTCTGATAGGAGGAGACAGGAATTTTTTTTTCATTCAAAAAATGGGTACTAAATGGCTACTCAGTCGCAGGCATTGTTGTAAGCACTTGACAAATTAATGAAAGAGACAAAGTTCCTTGTCTCAACAAGAGACAATCCTGAACTGATTGGTCTGCAGTACCATTTTATCAAGACTCATCCCTTCATTCTCTGTTCTTCAGAACATATTTCGTGGGGAAGGACTAAATAGGAGCATTTGTGATGAGGAGTGGTATATTCCCCTGAACTCCAAGGCTGAAACTATGTAAGCTGATTCACAGTGTCTATAGGAATGCTTCAGAGAGAGTGAGATTAGAAAATTTGTTCCACACAAGATAAAGTGTTTTTGACTCAGCAAAACTGGATTTTTCTAGAGAGTATAACCCTTCAGCCTGAAATCTCCTTGGGAAGAATTTATTTGCTGAAACAAGCTGACTAAGGAATACCAAATTCAGGGTATCCAGGAAGTGATAGGACCTGTAAGAAAAGCAGGTTTTCAGTTTGGACAAAGAGCAAAGATGATTCCCAAAGAAAAAACTTCTGGTCAAAAACCAAATGATGAACTGAAGAGGATTTATGACTTCCCCCACCCCCACTCAAATGCAATTTACAGGAGGATGCCAGGAACCCCATGTGATATTTCACCAGAACCCCTAGAGTCTTTGACAAGATCCTATGATCAGAAACTTGGCTTCAGAAGGGACTCTTGTTCTCGTTTGAGCTTCAATCTGTCTGAAGCACCTGTGGAGAAGGAAGTGATTTCTCAGATGCCTGAGGGAGGCATGGATCCTAATTAGGAAACATATCTGGGTTGCAATGTCTTTCTGTGAAGAGACTCAGACAAGAAGGACCAGCAATAGCTCCTGACACTGTTGCTGCAGTTGGACTTCCTGAAAATCAAATGGCTGAAAATACCAGTTAGAGTAAATGTAAAACTGCACATAATATATTAGTATATAGAAATATAATATACATTTATATAAACCTATTCAAGAATATGTATTCAATTATATATGTATATCATATATATACTATATGCAATTACTCTCATGACATTTCCATTTCCTCCATTTCATCCTTTGTTTTCCTGTTCTCTAGCCAAGTAAGTTGTCTATGGGAAGGAACAAGCTCAACATTCTGGAGATCAATTTAAGGCTGGAGTCTTATTTGAAAGTTTATGCTGTTTTTAACATGATCCTAATCTCACTCACATTGGTGCTATAAGTTAAAAAAGGGAAGCTGTTATTCTATGTAAAGTAACTTGTTTGAGTATAACTAGAAATCAGCACGCAAGACTTGTTACACATTTCCCTTATACTGCTTACACATGAACCACCAAAGCTGTTGGCATGGATTTGGAGTTTGGTAGCATTGCTTTGTTTACAGTAAACATGTGGTCAAATCTCTGGGGCTGTTACTAATGAAGGGAAGGGCTATCAGAGACTATTGCAAAGTGGTTTTGTTGCACCAAAGTCATTCAAGCTTCACAGCAGTGCATTGTGGGGTAAGTGAAAGCAGGGCTCTGCCTTCCTAATTCCAACTTGCTGAAGTTCTCGATTTGATGTTGGTCTTTCCTTGAGCACCTATGTCCTGAAGGTATTAGGCACTAGCGTGATTGCTGGCCAAACAACAGGTATAATTGTCTTCTGTAATGACAAGGCAAATGATGAGAAAAGGCCTCACTGAACATGGGCTACCTGCACAAAATATTAGGAGTATATTACAAGGAATAAAAAGAATTACTTAGACAAGAAAAGAATTCTACACCTCAGCATCATCGATATTTTGAAGCAAAAGTCTTCCAAGCTCTAAATCAAAACCTGATGGCACCAATGAAAGAGAGGGCTTCCAAATTTCTCTCTCATTTGAAACAGGCACACCAAAGAACAATAGAATTTTGTGAGGGGTAAGGAAGCTCTGAGAGGAGATTTACTAGTCTTTTCCTTACAACAATGGTCAATGGCATAGGCATACAGGAAGCAACATCAATTTCTAATTTTCCCTGATGACATTTTCACCAATTACCATCAAGATGAGTAAAATGAGAACAAAGCAGAGAGGTATCCCTTGAATTAAATGTATTCAATGTAAAATAGCTTTTGTTCTGAAATTATATCATTCTTGTTGGGAAGAAAAATGTCTTTTATGAACTAGAGAGCTGTAGTTGAGGTATTTGCTGCTACCACTGCTGCTGTGACTTATATAAATCAGGCCCCCAAATATTTTTGAAGCTTCCCTTCCCCTGAAATCCAAAGGTCTAAGAGCTTCTGACAGCAGGAGGGGGCTGATTGAGCAGGTAGGGTTAATTTAGTTCAAGGAAAGAAAAACTCCGATTACAGAGTGCTAGAAATGTTAACTATGAATGTACCTAGATACTCGTAGAGATACTCATGGGGTCCAGCCCCACTCCCTAGTCAGGGAGCATGTTGGGCTCTCTAAGGCAGAATATATGGCCAGACAAGGACAGCTTGAGCCTCCCTTGCCACCTCCTTTTCCAGAACAGCGAACTCCACCTTGTCACTTTCCAAATTCATTTTCCAAGAGAATTTCCACCCAAGAAGTCAACAGGAGTGACACTGTGCAGCCTCCTCTGCCTTCTGGGATGCTGCTGTCAAAGCATACCATCCCCGAGGCTCCAGCCCTGTGCCCTGCATGGGTTCTGTCCTTCAATTTTCTGGAACATTGGTCCCTGCTTCCTTTTCTCTTTTCCAACCCATCTTTCCACCACTCATCCTGCCAAACCTCCCCCTACCATCTATCTCTTTCTCTGTGGCAGCATCCTTGGTCCTCAGAGCTGAAATGAACCACTTTGGCACCGTGAGAGCACCTACTTGGCTTTCTCCTGTGGCACATGCAACTCCCTCCCTTATCCTGGGACTGGAGAAGAGGGTTTCAGTCATTTCTACCCATGCTAAAGCCCTGCTATAGAATTCTTTAGAAGAATTTAGGTTGCATTGATTATCTCCATGAAGGGTCCAACTGGACCAGAGAAAGAGCCCTTCTAGAGTGGGCTAGAAGGCTCCACAAGGTCAAAGCCTGCGACCCTACCTCTGAAGTCAGAGGACTTGCCCCAGCTGTAGAGAAGCTGGTGGCTCCTGAGCACATCTCTCTGAGGCTCATGGAGAGAAGGGTTCTGGTGGAGGCTCCAAGACCCTGTCCACACCCACAGGCTGCCACTGGACGGCTCCTCCCTCTCATCTCCTGGGCTCTTAGCATGGCCACACTGGGAGACTGACAGAGAGATGTGGACACAGTGTATATGCACAGGGCAAGGGGCTTCGATTCCCCACTCCACAGGTGCACTGCAGCCTGTGTCTCTCCCCATGGAAATCTCTTGTGGTAGGAGATGAGCATTCCTGTCCTGACAGCCCTTCTGCTCCAATTTGCCCTTTTTGGCCAGAGAAATTGTCTTAAATTGGAGCAAGCATTGCATTTGGCCAGATCCAGCCAGTTGACCTTGTCACTTGCAGCTGAATTGCCAAGAGGTGACTCCCAGCCTATCCGGTGTGTCTCCATAAGCAATGCCATTTCCAGCTGTTCCCAGTGACCACTGAGGCCGACTGCTCCTTCCCCACCTTGTGCTGTTTAACTGTGTGAAATGGTGAGAGACTGCAGCTGCTTGCATTTTTGGCCTAAAGGAAATGAAACACATATATCTATATGGTCATATAGATATATAGTGGTCTATGGGGAAAAATATATTGGTGGAGTGTAAAAATCTAGCAATCTTTACGAAGCCTACGTTGCAATCTGTCCATGATAATGCAAAAACGAATAAATAAATAAAAGCAAGCCATGGACCCCAAGTCTCTCCACCACCACTAAAGGAAGACCCCACTAAAATGTGGGATCTGGAGGTGGAAGTATCTGTGGGCTTTCAGGCATATTTTACTTTTTGTCATCTGTCTGAGTTCTCTTCCTCTGCTACCAGGGTCGTGCCTGGTGAGAGAAAGATCCTAGATGACCATTTCCAAGCTGACAGCTCTCCAAATACCTGCACCAAAGGAATTCAGTGCACCTACATAGAGGAAAAGAAAGCGTCCCTTTCGATGTGGTCTTTTGCCAGGTTGTGTTTCTCTAAACCAAATGTTACCTGATCAACTGCTGTAGGTTTCACTGAATACAACTGCATGGAACGCTGTGACCGTTTGCAATGCAACCTGATCTAAAAACATTGCATTTTTCTTTTTAATCCAAAGGGGACTAGCAGGTTTATTGTGTTTGCATGTGCTTTCCCCCTAGACTCTGGCTGCCCTAACAAGAAATTCAATAAATCTACTTCCAAACCATCTTGCACAAGCTTTGCATGTCCAGTCTGGGCCTGAGGAAATTAACAAGAGAATAGAACATACCATCGACTTGCGGAGTGGCGATAAATTGAGAAGAGAGCATATCAAGCCTTTCTCACTGATGTTTAAAGACTCCAGCCTGGAGCACAAGGTAGAGCTGGGTCACTGCAGCGGCTCTTTTTCTGAAGTAAACGGTGGTAAATGTTGGTGGGACGAGAGCGAGCAGGGGCTGTGTTACCGGTTGGTTGGTTGGTTTTGCTGTTTGTTTGTGTATTTGTTTGGTTTGGTTTGGTCCTGTCTTGTCTTTTTGAAAATCATGAGCAGACTGAAGGCCATGAAAGGAAATGCTGGTTAGATAAAGAGCCTCAGCTCTGCACTTTCAGGAAAAGACACAAAAACAAAGAGCCCTTTACTGGCAGCATCCAAGGAGTCCCTTCCAGTTGGAGATTATTCACCCAGGATACATTAGCACCCACCTACCTTTGCTCTTAGGAATTCACAACAGTTGCAACCCTTGTACATAATGCATGGGGACACCCAATAGCTTGATGGAAGCATTAGCGATAACCTCGTCTTTCTCAGATTGCAGACACCTGTCCTCCCATTTTGCCAATTGTCCGCTGCCCCAGAGTCCCCCCCAATCTAGGCCTAATAGCTGGAAGATGGGATGTGGAATGAGAGTTGGGTTGAAATTCCACCTCTGCCTCTTCCTTGCTGTGTGACCTTCAGAAAGGGAAGCAGCCTCTCTGAGCAATGTACTGAGTTCCTCTCTATACATTGAGGAGAATGGGCATGCCTCCCTCGGAGGTGATGATGAAAGGCTCCAGGTGATGCTTTGATTAGGTTAAGTGTTTGAGAATGGCTGCCATGGCCATAGTGAGGATAATGTTTTTCCCGTGCCCCTCTCTATCACAGCTCCAAACTGTAAAGGGTTGTGGGAAGCTCCAAACTGTAAAGGCAGGTGCCATCCATGCTTAACAGGGCTGCTCCTTTGCCCTGATGGAAACTAACAGACTTTCCCTGACTGAACACAGGAGGCGCTTGGCTGCAGGAGCCTCAGGCATGAACAGCAGGGAATTTGCAAACACACTTCAGGAGTTTGATCTGATACTCTGCAAAGCTTCAGTGAGCAATTTTTTGTGAGTTTGCTCAGCTGCCTGGCAGAGTCTGCTGTCCTTGGTTTAGGGAGTTCACACTTCTATGCACATGCACATTCCCCGTGAGTATCTTTGCTAGCAACCTAAAGGTTACAAATCCAAAATTAAAACCTTCACCTGCAGTTCACAATTTGACATGCTTTGTGTCCTTGTACTAACAAGATGAAAAAAATCTTTGCCTCACTCTACTGCCACTCCCCACCAATAACAGGTGGACTTTTCATATACATAATATAATTAAGGACTAAAGTCCAAATTAAATGCATTTTCTTTCCTGGTTACACTGAAGGAGCTAGGAAGAACAGGGTGGTATTGCAAAGAACCTTCTCAATTAGCCTGTGTAAATAGCTGTGTCCAAACCTACACAAAACCCTTCCATTCATTGTTAGAGATGCATTTGCTTTGCTAATGACCTGATTCCTGCAGATTTAGATAATTTCTAATTTTTATAAAATCATGCTTTATTTAATCATGTCTGCATCTCATCTGCAGACATCTGGTGCTGGAGCAGGAATGATATGGGAGACAGTGTTTGAGATTTATCTCTGTGGCCAAGGGAGGTGCTTTTAGGAGGAGCAAAGAGCAGCATCCTGAAGACATGGGGCATCGCCCCTGGGCAGCCCAGCCTTGCCCCTTCTGGCGTGTGCTCTACCTGCGTGGCCCCAGGAGTGGAGGCAGGGGCACACCATTTCCCTGGCGTCAGGAAGACGTTCCTCCTTGGCGTCTCCTCTGCGATCCTCTCTGGAGGCTGAGCTATTGCTGAGCAGAGGCTATGCCCTGAGGAACTGTCACTGGCTGGTTATCAAAAACCAGGCCCTCTTCTAAGCTGTTCCCACAAAAATGACAAGTATAGAATAGATGTGATTTATTATGAGTGTCATTTTACATTGATGAAATAGAAACAATGAGAAATGATTATGTAGCTTGGTCAAACTCTGTCAGTTGAGGGGGTAGGATCCATGCCCGCAACACTGCTGCTCCCTGGAGCCCCTCAGACTAGTGCTGACAGATCCTTGGGTGAAGAAGACAATCTCTACTATCTTCATCACCTCTTTGAACCTTGGATGTGGTCGGGGCACAAGGGAAGTGTTAGGGAAAGAGATTATATAGGAAAATATCTCAGAGCTTGAAGATCTTCAAACCCATAAAAGAGCACCTAGTATCAGTGTGCGTCTACTTTGTGCCTGTGTCTATAGGTTTATGGTATCCCAGTGAAACATTACTGCCCTGCAGACAAAAGAGAAACAGCCCCTGTAGAGGTCAAACAGAGGTCATTCATCTCTAGTCCAGGGGCCATGTTGGCTTAACGTTAAGGTACCGTCGACTGAGAGATTCTCCATTTTTTATGCAGCTCTAATGAAAAAAAAAAAAAAAACAATATTGGGAAACACATACCCCACCCCCCTAAAGTGGACTTACACCCTCAGAGTAAGGACGTAGAAAAATAAAAACCCATCCAGCCATCCAGGAGAGTGAAGAATCCTACAAGCCTACACCCTAGTATTGGGTTAGATGGGAAAAAAAAGAAAAGGGAATAAAAACTATATCTGCATAACTTTGCTGCCTGAATTCACTTTCTGAATGTGGTCTTTAAAAAAACTTCAGAGAATGCAATCTGAAGGGGCCCCAGTTGATATTGCCCCCTGGTTGCCAGAAGAAGCAATCGCTAGGAGTGCCAACGCAAGGCTTTAGGACTTGCTGGGGAGTCACATGCATTCTGATTTCAGGGACATTAAAATGTGAGGGGGTAAAAGCCATGCAGCTTCGAATTGTTGAAATATATATAGTATGTGAAACTCTAAGACCTTTTCTCTTACCATTGCCCTCCCGTACTTCTCAGGAGCAAGTTTGGCCCATTCAAACGTGCTTTCTGAAAGAGAAAGTAGAAAAGGAAGTGATTTTTCCCTTGGAGATGTAGGGAAGAGAGGGCTTTGTGGTGCTTGAGCAATACAAAGAGGTATGACTACGTAAATCTGTTCTCTTGTCCACCTTTAAGAGTGAATTAGAGAACACAAAATTCATTCAGACATTGCCTGGTTACATTTGCTTATAAAAATTAGCATAGCTGCCTGAGCAGTGTATGGTGAAGCCTACTTTTCTATGCCTCATGGAGTTGAAAAAAATATTTACTGAATGAAGACCCCAGTTAAGGAGAATGTTGGAGACTGGCTCTCCCCTGTAGCTGACCTCGTGATACTGTTCAGAATTCTAAGAATCAAAAAAAGTGGATCTGTTCAGACAGCAGTGGTTTCAGGGGAGAACACATAAATTCCACCCCTTTCTCTGCCAAGTCCTGTCAAGGGAGCTCGCGTGCGCACACACACATCTCTTCAGTTGAGCTTCAGAAAAGTGTCTTTATGAGTCGTGAGGGTTAACCATGTTGGGGCAGCAGATGCCCGGTGTCTGGTCCATTGCTTTGTGACATGGAGAGATGGACATCAGCTCCCGGTCATGTAGCAGTAGGAATGAGGATCTGAACTCCCCAGGGCCATCATGATTCTATCTCCTGATTGGCCTAAAACAAGCTTTACACCTGTTTTCTCAATAGAATTATTAATAGCCCCACCTTTTACTCTCAAAAACCAACAGTGTAGGTGGAAAGTCATGGAATCCAAGGTTTGCATCTCCATTGGCGGGAATGATCGTGCTCGACCCCTTCACTTCCCAGCACCCCCACGGGGGTGGGGGAGGCACTCCGGCTAGTCACCAAAGGCCTCCTCCAGGTCCTCCCCAATTTCTATCCTTTATTTTACTCTGGGGCTAAAATTTCTAAGGGAGTTTACGGATCTCAGAGGTAAACAGAAATCAGAATTATAGTGAAGAGTCATGGTGCTTATGACATATGTCAGATATTGGTGATCATATGGGACTTTTTTCCTTTTATGTGACTGTTTTCTTACTTAAAAAAAAAAGAATGAGTTTTCACTAAAGAAAGCTCTTGCCAAGCATATAAGACAGGAGAGAGAAAGAGAGAGAGAGAGAGAGAGAGACATTCTGGAATCTTACAACCCAGGTAAACCTCTCTGAATATTTGGCTTCCATCATGCTGGTCTTTCATGAATGTGAGTCTGTGTACTTATTACACAATTTTTCATCAAAAGGGCCTTTTTGTACATACTGCTTTGTAGTTGTGAAGCTTTCTTTGCTGGGGCCTTTTCCCATACCGGGAGATATTCAGTTACAAAATAATTTTTTTTAACTGCATCCAATTCCATTGCATATTCTAACCATTTTTGGTTCTTTTCTCAGTTTTTCACTGCCATGAACTATAAAACTACATTGCAGCGACCATTGGCAGTGTTAAGTCATGCATCTGTGCTTAATTACTTCTCTAAGATAAGAATTCCAAACATGAGCATCAAGTACTTGATAAGCATTTGGAAATTGCCCTGAAGAATTGTGGACAACTGTACTTTAAGCATTTGATAAATTGATTAGGGCTTGATAGCATCTCCTTGTCGTTTTTATCTCTGTAGTTATTGTTGAGGTTGAATGTTTCTATGTTTTTATGTTTGCATCCTTGTATTTCTCCTTTTGTAATTTGCACAATTGTCTTGCTTGTGTCATCTGTGTATTTATCTTGTTTGTGCTATTTGCACATTTGTCTTAGTTGCCTACTTTGACAATCGAACTCACCTCTGTCTTACTGATTTGTGAGTATTCTTTACATAGTGAAGGACTTAACTCAAAACACTTACAAGATGACATTTTTCAGCACATGGTCCTCATTTCTCTCTGAGGATAAGCCTCTCAATGAAGCTTAGGATGGGAACGCAATTAGTTACAATTGCGTAGGGATGTTTCCAGGCCAAAGAAACCCATCCAAAACCATTAGTAGTTTAAGAGGATTTAATCACATGGAAACACTTATTTGGAGTGACTATTAAACTTGCAGTTCCCAAATAATGTCACCACTCAGACTGAAGCAGTTCTGCATCCTGAGTAAGATGAGGATATGTTTAATATAGGCTTCAAAACTGATTGGCAACATATG